GTTAGTTCAGGTGAAAAAAGTCTGTTTTGTATGTTAAGTGTTTATTAAGTCAACAATTATAATTTCTACTCTGAAGACATTTCATATTATTACAACTGTGTTTTACTATATTTTAATTAATTATTCGATTATACAGCAGCCTCCACTTACAGGTCTCCACAGAAGACGTTATTAGATGTTGACACATTAATCCCACTCAGTGTTTCCCCTATATGCATTTAGGAGCGGCAGTTTTCGATCTGAAAAAGTGGTTTTGGAAAAGAAAGGACAGAGGTGACTGGAGGAGCTGAGGTTAGTAAAGCTAATTAGTGATGCAAACTAGTCCTTTTAAGATAATGAGGAGACATTTCTTTTTGGATTTTAATGTGCAAATAAAATGCACCTCTGAAGGGAGGTGGTTTCTCATGAGAAAAATTTGGCTTCACCTCCACTGCTACAACTCCATCCTAGGGGAAACACTGCCACTTATAATAGCTTCAAAGATAAAGGACTTAGTCAAAGTCGTGCATGCCGTTTTTGCATGCTCATGACAGCAAAACAACCTCATGTTGTCTCTGAAGTTTGACTGACCGTGGGTTTCGTGGGCAGCTTCTGTGATTGAATGTCATGGCATTTGACCCACAATGCTCTAGTTGACATAAACGGCAACCCTCATGTTTATATCTATCTCACTGTATGACAACAAACGGGATCAAGAAGGTCCAAATGAGCCGAGCCAAAACACCTAGTAAATATTCCACAACAGCTTGATTACTTTTCCAGGGTACTGTGGATGCCCGTTTGCTGGTCCACATCAACTTACTACTCCTTTAAATGTTAATGTATCTACATGTACGTGACAAAGAGTATCATAAAAAGTATTGAAACTGATTTAACCAAAGACCAGGATGGTCACGTGTCTGCTCATTATGGTCCTCACACTGGAACATATCCTCATGACCCTCGTTCAGGTTCAAGAATGTTTTTAGGTGGCTGAGACATTGTCAGAGCTCACAACAGACACCGTTACTCAAACTACAGAATATTAACTTGAAAAACTGTACAGACCACTCTCATCCTTCCTTCCTCTCACATATTTTTCTCTTATTAGACTTACTTGTCAACAAGTGTCCTGATAACAGCCAGTGTGTCCAGCACCAGGCCATCCACATTCTGCTTCTTCCGTCTTGGTTCATGGGGCCCTCGTCCTCTGCGTGGTGGCCTGACCGGGTCCCTGGGTCGACTGCTCCGAGCCTCTCCGGCTTCAACACCTACGCCTGTACCATGATCCACTCGCCTCGGTTGTCCTCGGGTTGCCCTTGACGACCCATGGTTATGGTCTTCCAAGTCACTATCCTCTCGGCACACACAGCTGTTACCCATGTTTCCAGTGCCAGAGACCACACTGGAAAGGGTCTCCCAGAATGGAGGAAGGGAGTTTGCAGAGGAAAGGAAGAGCAGAACCTGTGCAAGGCTCCTGCAGGCACAGAAAGTAATCCAGGCGACTACTATCATATCATTTGGAGAGCTTGGTTTTGGGGGATTCTTATCCCAGTGGGCCGGGTGGAGTCAGCGTAAATGATCATACTGTAGCCACCAGATTGGTTTGAGAATATTGATATGCAGCTGGTTAAATGGACTGAGAGGAGTCAGGTGATGGAAGCAGAAAAGCTCTAAAGCTCAAGGCTCTGGTCGAGATCTCATCCAGGGCTGGCATAGCTGCAGGCGCAACACAAACAGTACAGAAAAAGTGAAACACTGCCCCCAAATTAACTCTGTCAGAACTGTATATTTAACTGTTTAACAGATGTTCATGTGCTGCCAGCAGCAAAGCTTAAAACAAGCTGAAGTGACAGACCCCATGAGATAAGTGTCAAGTCTGAAAGAAATAAAATAGTGAAAATTGGAAGGAGAAATCAACATTAGCCATTTAGCGGTTCATCTCTCAAGCTAAGTAGCTAACGTGATTAAACAATGTGTTTCCGTCTAAAGTTGTGCTGTTTAAGAAGTCACAGTATATCAACAATGTGTACACAACACATGTACTAAATTAATGAGACATTTTAGTATTGTTGACAAAGAAGAGCTTTTCAGTTAGCTGCATAGCAGACTAGCCACCCACCAAACAAGCATTGTACCATCAGCACTGCTGGTAAATAAATACCAAGTCTCACAAACTAACACTTATCATTTCGCCAGTGAACTATAATGGTTCAATTTTAAACTAAATGTATACTTACGTTGCTACCAGTTGAAAAACAGCAGAATGCAAACGGGCCAGACCGAAGTAGTTAACGAAACAGACAACTAACTGGCTAGCTATGTTGTGTAGCGGCTAGCCAGCTAGCGGTTAGCAGGACACTCCTCTGATCCCCCTGTCAAACTAACGTTACACAAGTTAGCTAACGTGAGTAGCAATGAACTACGCGTGGTACTCAAACGCCGGTGAAGTAACTTATTTACATGACCTGCCGTTATGACACATTTGCTTAACTCTAAACCCGCACATTCATATGAGGGTTAGCTAACACCTCGTAAACAGTTTAACGACGCTACACCGCTAGCCGCGTGCTAAGTTCCGTAGCGCTAAGAGAGACGCGATCATCAGCTGTGGCTGCGGAGGCGCGGCTGGAGGAGGTAGGAGGAGGATTTCTGTTAAATACAACGTCAACATACAGCAAAGATCGCTGTTTCCCCAAAACACAACCTTTCTCTCTTTCTTTCATTATCTATGACGTAATATAGAGCCAATTGAATCTGTATTAAAATAGTATTGTTTTGTGCATTATATTTATACACATTGTAGCCAATATAATGTTCTTATTAAGACGGAAAATAAGATTATATTGTTTTAAGACAGATAAAGATTGCAGAAGCAAGAATAACAGCTACAGCATTTTACAGGTTACAAGAAAAGTGCATTCGATGAAAATGCACAACACGTCAGACAAATGTGCTAACTTACTACAATTGATCCTTGTAAAACGTGAACGCTCGTGAATGTCAGCAGGCGCGCCTAGCTTCACTGAAACCAAACTTTCCCACGGGTACTTGAACGCAATCACCTGAAGTCATTTACAACAAAAAAGCAATACGTCTTAAGTGTTGCGCAACAAGACAAGTAGAACATTTCTATTTTAAATATAAAAGTGCACCTATAAAAATACGGCATCGTAACTACAAGAGTCACATTGCCCCCCTGATGTGCTAGAAAATAACATACAGAATTTCTTATTTCTCAGGTGAATCTGCACTGTGACACTGAAGTAAGTAAATAAGGCTTTGAGAATCAGTTTATTGGTCGTCAGTGTCACATTTATTAACACTAACAAGGCATTTTTGGTCAGGGAATCCGGAGGTTACAACAGAGAAGAACTAAAGGTGGGTTAGGTGACTCCATGCAACATCTTGTTCCAGGCTACGGTCCGTTAAAGTCGAATAGTCCTTCTCTATATTTCTATATAATAACAAACATGGTTTCACATCTCTGGGACAGTTTGATTTCTCAGAATTTGAATTCTCAATCCCACATGTAATGGTATATTTAATAGATTTTTTTCTTAGGTCATTATTAAAAACAAAGGTTGTCCTTTTTGTAGAACATTTGTTTTTGTGAGTAGCATAAAGGTAACTACAACTTAATCTTGTGTTGTAAAAAAAGATTAATAAACCTTACACCATGTAGTTGTTCTTCTATTTACTCTATCTTACTTAGAGTGGTCTATAGACTTAAATCAATTACAAATATCACAGAACCAACGGTCTTATAACCATGCAATCAACCATTTAGATGGTGTGCTGTAAATTGGGACAGTCATAGACCCTGCTTCGGTTTAGGGCTGTGTTGAAGGAGTTGTCGTGATACATCCCAGTCTTGCCCAGGTCTTCAGAGAATCTTTGTGATTTAGGGTGAAAAGTACACGGCGAGCTTTCAAAGGTTGGAGAGAGAAGACCATAAGCACTGGAAGTGGTCCTGTACAATAGATCCTGGGGCTTTGCTCCCTGCCTCCGCAGTACATCTTTAACTGCCGGAGTCATCATGCAGGAGAAAACTGGGTTTCCAGGATTGGCACATGCATTTTCTATCTGTTGTTCTTGAGAGGTGGACATCATGCAGTGCCTGTAAAAAAAAATCAGAATTCACGAACCTCAGCTTTAGTACAGGATTACACAAAACCAAGCTCATTTTTGTTGATGTCTATAGTAAAACCGAATGATGCAGAGCATCGTTGTGTCTACCCATTACCACACCTGAAGCCAACATCAACATCAAAGGCCAAAATGTATGAAATACATGCGTTTGATGAGAACAGAAATATTTTGCTGTATAAAATGATTAAATCTTTATCGTTGTGGAGTAATTTACAAATAAAGACAAAGTGGGCAATCAGTGCTTCTAAGCTATCCTTGGATAAGTGTAAACATGGAATCGCAATATAAATTTTTTTTACATGAGTAAACGCTTTCAAAAGTAGCCTATACTCCTAAAGAAAACGCTGACACACCTAACGCTTCAGGGAGATTTCTCTCGACAGATAATTGTACTTGAGTCCAATGGTGGCAACCTCAGATGCTAAAGTAACTTTAGTTAACTAAGCTTATGCTAGCTAACTAATCTACTACAGTAACATCAACGTTAGCTGGCGTTAGATCACCAAATGTACTGTTCTATCTGAATGAAACTTGTGTTATAAATCTGTTATCAACTAAAATATAGTTACCTTCAAATGGTGTAAACCAACACAACAATTTGCGGTGTCTTCAAAGAAGAGGCGCCCGGTTACCATGAAAACCACTAAACATTAGGGCGGGAGTGGCGTTTCACTTACACATCCACAGCCCTTTGTACACTGGCTATATAACTGGTATAAAACCGACATGATTCTAATTATTATTATTGTCAATATTCTTATTGCTGTTAATTATCAATTGACTGAAGCGGCTATTTAACACAGAATGAATATGTAATCCAGTATTTTCTCCAGCAAGTGAAAGCATCATTGGTTACATCATCACCAAGCGTCAGCTGTGTACGTACAATTACCGCATCTACGGTGCTCAAACCGCTAAAAACTCAAATCTGAACCCCTCGTTCACAGACTTTGGTAAAGCGTGTTACTGTTACTCTTATTGTTTGCTAGGCTAACTGGTTTGTTTGTAAGGGTAGCAGCGGATTTTGAATGGCTGTCTGCTGCTAGCTTGACGCTAACTGTCAGAGGAGAAGATCAGAGCAGTTTTTGTACGGAATCCTGCTCAGAGGATGGACAGTGAAATCCAACGAGATGGCAGAGTCCTGGACCTCACCGACGATGCCTGGAGGGAAGACAGACTGCCCTATGAAGATGTCACCATCCCGCTGGTAAATGCTGAAACTTGGCAAACAACGTTAGCATCGGCAGCGGCCAGGTGTTCACAGAGTTTGTTTACAGTGCAGACGTTTCTCACCGACATTTTGACGAGATTTGGTTTTCATGTAGGAGACGTTTCTCAAAGACTACTGTTAATACAGCCTATGTGGACGTTTAGTAATGACACTAACACTATTCAGTGAGCGCAAAACAAACCCAATCTGCAATCGGCTTGTGAATAGCAAGTTTTGTGTACAGAAATCTAGATAGTGTTTTCCAGCGGGTGTGACAGAGCGGGATCTGTAACATTTATGGACTAACAGGCTTTAACAGGACTCAGTATTTTAGACAAATCTTGTGACGCACACTAGGAAGCAAGATGACTAGGTTCAAATTGGGTGAACTCCAGTGTAATTTTATCTGCGAAACTGAGAGCAAGCAGCTTTTGAATATAATGAGAACAGGAAGCCCTACTTCCTTGCTCCAGTTTTGTGACAGTAATCCTCTTTCAGGCTCAAAAACATGCATGACACTTGCGCTTCTGGCCTTACATACTTTTATAACTTCCAGACTTACAAATGTGCCCCATCATGCTGTCAAATGCTAACACATTACGGTTTTTTCTATCATGATTATAAATTAGGTTATGTGCGTGCTTGGTAGTTGTTTCAATTACGAACCATGAGTTCCTGCCTAAACATCTGACAGAAAATAATATTCCTGTTTTTGTTAATTTAAATATAATCTTTTGCTTCCCTCAAATGTTATGTTTTTCTCTTGATACCATAATACCATAGATGTAAAGTAGAGAGTACTGCTTCTCTATTTCATGGCATCTTGTTTCCCCTGTTCTCTGTCAGAGTGAACTGCCTGAGGCTGAGCAGGACAACGGGGGCTCCACAGAGTCTGTGAAAGAACAAGAGATGAAGTGGACAGACCTCGCCCTGCAGAGCCTGCACGAAAACACACCGAGCACTGGAAGCTGAAAGGCTAATCTGGAATCAGACTGTAGGACAAAAACACACATGCATTCGGACACTGAATCCAGACACATGTAATTCATTGGCTTTTGCCATTTTGTTGTGCGCAGTATGTTCCAGCTAAGCAGAAATGATGCAAACATGCCTTTTTCATTGGTGTAAGGTTTATATTGCAGTCTTTATGGAAATAAATGTAAAATAAAAACTTTGCGATAACAAATGGGGTAAAAAGTATATCTTCTTCTAAAAGGTCACAACCAGTTGTCCTGTCTGCCTTCTGTTGCATGACACATTTTTCTTACAACTGCTTTAATCTTGACAGCATGACTTGCATGTGTTAACAACTCATCTTAAAGTTATGTTGTTGGGTTTTTTTTTAATTTGTGTTGTATCCAAAAAGTCAGGAGGATGGGCCCTCACAAAGACACTGTCTGTACTAGGCTCTGTCTAAAAGTATTCTTTGCTTACTAAAAAAATCTACGACTCCACTTCCCATCACTCCTATCATGAAGCTTAGACACTTTGGCCTCATTTTATGAAGTTGTAATCATAAATCGGAGCATTCTGTTGGTAGTTGGATGAATAAAGTCCTGGATGTTAGTATGAGGAAATATGATTTCCACCTGTCACACCAATGTCCTTGAAAAGTTTAACTATTTTCTCTCAGTTTTCTCAGACCCACACATTGTCCTATAATCCTCATAGATTGCTTAAAACCTTTCAAACTCAAGCCATGAAGAAATAGCACCTTATGTGTCAGTTCTAGTTTTTGTCAAGTTCCATACAAGATCTTGTTTAAGACCCTAATGCACACACGGAACATATATTTTGACCAAAAGGGATAGTCAAAGCTGCTGAAATAAACTGTGAGGGACTGTGGCTTAATTTGGGAGCATAACCAATGAAGTTTTAAGAGTAACTACACTGTAAAATGAATGCAGTCTAACCAACAACCCTGCAACAAATCCTATTTTCATGAAGATTAAAATGTAAATCCCTCCAAAACTGCTTTCATTTTATTTGTTTTTAACATTTGGACAACTCTTTGAGACACAATCCATTGTCTTTTTCTGGTCTCTGTGTTCTAATTTCTGCTCCTGATGGATGTTTGACATCTGATGCTATTGTCAATTGCATCATCGCCCAAGCTGAGCATTTCTGTAGAAACCAGAAAAGACAAATCCTGCCAGCAGCTTCATCATCACTGCGTTTGTGCAGCCTCTGCCTTGAGCTCGCGAATGTGGTCATGTGGCCCCTTCCGCAGCAGGGCTGAGGGGTGTCTGTAGGAGCCCCCTAGACGATCCCAGAGCGTGAAGTATTGTCCGTAGTTATAGTTGAAGAAGAGGTGATGGTCTGTGTGGTGAGCAGCACCATTGATCAGACATATCAGGGGGCCGGGAAGGCGGTAGTCTCCATCGTGTATGGAAATGGTCCAGATGTTGACAAAGACAAAGAGTGACAGATAGACCACCTGTAATGTAAATATCCCAGATGTGACAGAGTTTACATCATGCTTACACTGTACTTTTTGGAATTCTTTGCTTTTTTACACTTAACTTTCAAGCAAACATCAAATTGTGTCCACAAGCAGCTGAGCCAGAATAATGTGTTTAATGTATGCAGTGAAAATTGTATAGCTACTTGCAATACTGTTACCCCTCAGAGCTAACATCAGAATGTTTAGTAAACAGTGACAAGTAGACCACCACCTTGTGAAGGGGGAAGACGAAAGGGTATACGTGATAGGGCAAGCTCTGCAGGAAGCCATCGAGTGGGTGGAAGGCATGGCTGGCAAAAGGCGTAGGGATCTTGAATATATGGTGCTGCTTATGTAAGTGCTGAGGGGGAGAAACACAAATGGTCTTAATATTAGGATAATTTTACACCATGCAAACAAGGTACACAAAATCCTACGGCGAATTTAATCGAGATTCAGAAAGTTGCTTCAGAGGTAAAAGACATAGCCCAATTTTGCAACTTTTATAAATTTCAGACTAAGTGGACATCTCACAAATAAATGATAAAAGTGGACAGTTACTGGCTTTATATATTGAGATGTAGCTCAGTTGTTGAATCACTCTTGATTCACTCTCCTTTTAGCTCTATATTGGTCTTCCACAGCTACTGAAGGAAACATCTGCCTCTTTAGCAGCTAAATGCGTCACTCTTTTACCAAGCAGTATTAATTGGCTTTATCAGAGCTTTTTCACTGGAAACAGCTGCCTGCTGAAAACAAGTTGATGAGAGCAGTGAACCAAAACAGTGAAGTTGTTGTCTGTAAAACCAAAACAATGAGCCAAAAGATGCTCATTTGCTCAGCTGAGGGAACCTGCAGAGTCAGGTGATAATTCTTAGTGGGTCCATCACTTCGAGTGACCCCCTTTTCCATTAAACATATTCATTTGATTCTTTGTTTTGATCAGAATTGTTAGGATTGTGGTTTTGTGTTGATGTTTTTCCTGTTTTAGTCTGTTTTTGGGTTCTGTGTTTCTGTAAGTTTTATTTGGGGTGGTGATGGCGCTTAGATAAGATGCTTGCCTTTGGTGTGTCCCTGAGCAAGACACTTAATCCCTAGTTGCCCCAGAGGTGTGCGACCTCTGACATGTATAGCAATTGTAAGTCGCTTTGGATAAAAGCATCAGCTAAATCAATAAATGTAATGTTAATGTAATTTCATCTTGTCATGGTTTGGGGTTTTGTAACCTAGTTTATTCTTTCGTTTATTTGCATGTTTAATTTACTTATTATCTGTCTTAGTTCTTAGTCCTGTGCCTTAGTTTATGTTTTAGTGTTTACTCCTGGGTGCTGTTTCAGAAAGTGGGATTAGTGAAAATGCTGAGTATGTTAAGCCTGAGATGAGGGAAACTCTGGGTTTTCTGTTTCAGAGATCGAGATCAGATTAACCGAAGATCAGTTACTTCGGCAACTGATGCTGTGAACCTAACCTCCTCCTGAGGAGTAGTTCAAATCTCTATGATGTATTTTATGGGCTCTTCTTTTATGTGTAATATGATTAAGATGTTATGGTAGGCTACAAATGCACAAAAGGTCCATTGAAATTGCTGTTTCATGCTGAACAAATCAGGATGAAATCTAAAAATATTTTATCAAGTGGTAGCATATTAATAGCCTACTTCTCATCATTAACACTGAGTACAGATGTGGTGTGTAGTCCACGTATACAGGGTAAACTCGAGTTAACCACGAACAAAACCTGCTCGGAGCAGTTTAGAGATGCAGCGTGAACTGCCATGGACCACAGGTTAACACTTATCCACCTTTCGTAGTACGGGTTAATCAGGAAGTTACACCCGACGTCACAAAGTTATTCCTGAACATACCTGGATAAGCCAGTTACCTCGCTTCATAGTACAGACCACTAGTCTTAGTCTGTTCGTTGTTAGGTTGTAGTTTATTTGTGTTATTTAGTTTTCTGTCTGTTAAATGTTGGTTTGTGTTCTCTATCTGGTGATTGTTCATTTGACAGTGTTTAGTCTTGTGTGCTTGCTTCCTGTTATGTTTAGTTTGTCTTTCAGTGTTCAGTCTGTCCTGTTTAGTTTTTATCCATTGAGTGTTCAGTTTGTGTTTCTGCATTTTGGTCTGGTCCTGTCTGTTCCCCTCAGTTGGTTTCACCTGCTTGCCTGTGTCTGATTGCCTCCACCTGGTCTTGGTCCCGCCCTAGTGTTTAAATGTTTGCTTGTTCTGCTCAGTCTTTGTTACATCCTCGTCTGTGTTGAGTGTTCTGTCCCTGCGCTTTTTAGGATTTACCCCTTTGGATTGTACCTTGTTCTTTGTTTATGGATTTTCCCTTTGGATTATGTTTTTGTTTGGAATAACCTTTGTTTGGACATTTGCCACTGTGCTCTCAGTGTAAGCCTGCTTAGTTTTCTTTAATAAATGTTTGATTGAACTGCATCCTAATGGCTGTAGTCTGCATTTAGGGCCACACCTCTGTTCACAGCTACTGCACATTTTATGACTAAAATATTGTTTAGAGCACCTTAACATATTCATAAACATGCTAAAGCTCACCTTGTAAATGTTCTTATGGTGCATAGAGCGGTGTATCCAGTAGATGCTCATGTCAGTGAAGAACAAGAAACCAGCAATGCTCAGGAAGACCCCGGACCAGCCTGAAACAGAACAAACCAGTATGCTAATGGATGTTGGCTATTTTAGCCCTTTTAAACAAATGCGAAAGCTTTGTCTTGATTAACCGCTCACATTAAGGCAGTTAATCAAATAACTTCAGAATAATTTCAGATTTGAGTTGATTGAAGCTAACATAAATCCTGGCCTCGGTTTTAAGGTAACCATTGTCTTACCCAGAGGAGATCCGCTGATGTTGTCATAAAGTTTGCTGTTTCCCCTGACCTCCCAGAAGAAAAGTGCCACTGTAGGGAAGCTCATCCAGAAGATGGCAACAGTTCCTAGCTGAATCTCTTTTCTTACCTGATTCTGTCATTGGGTCAAAGACAAAATTAGGATTTGGGAGTTTGCTTTGGAATTGTTTCCAGGTCTGATGTTGTGTTAAATAATAAAAACAAAATGGTCACTAACAGTTTACACCTCCAATCCATTCAATGACTTATAAATTGTCTACAGATGTCAGAACAGGGTGTTGTCCATTAAACAGCTTACCTTAATAAACTGTGGATGTTTCATGAGCTTATGGTCAAACACATAGTAGAAGCTAAGAGTACCAAAGCCCAGGTAAATTAGCTCAGCTCCAAGGTTGGTCACCACCCACAGGCTGATTATCTGACGCACAGCCCAGTCCTCGGTCCATGATGCCGGGTAAACGTAGGGAGTGAAGATGTATGAGTCAGACATGTTCAGCACATGATCCATGCTACTGTGAAGATGAAATTAATAGTGTGACCATTGTTGTGTTTAGCCACAGGACAAAAAGCTGGATAAAACTTCAAAAACAGATACATATATGTGCAAATGTAGTGTTTCTTTGTGAAGACTGTGAAAAGCTTGCAAATCAGAATTTAATGGCTTTGCATTCAGTGTCCATGCTTTATGGACTAAGATCTGCTTTAGGTTTCAAAATTCATCTCCCATTTTATCCTTTTTTGTTGTTTGTTATTCTGTTATAGATGTTTTCCATTTTGTCTAACCAGGCCAAAACAGGCAGCTTACACACACACTTAAGATTGCAACGCATGAAACAGCGGAACAGTAGGAGAACAAACACAAGCATAGTTATATGACAATGAAATAAAAGCAGCATACCTGTTCAAATGGCTACTACCCTAATAGACAACTTTACTTGTTAGAGTGAATGACTGGACTCCTGTTGCAACTGACGCCAGTGCCTTAAAGCTGATGATACACAGAGCAACTTTTAGAGCAATCATGCAGGGCAACGTTGCCGTCAATGGTAATGAGTAAAGATTACTACCATAATCCCCTTCCCCCACCACTCCGCCACCCGCCCCGCACAGCCACTATCCGTTCAAAACATAGTCAGATTTGCCACTAGCAAGATTGCCCAGCAACATTGCTCAAAAAGTTGCCCCGTGTATCATCCCTGCCTGCTGGTCCTCCAATAATGCAGAATGTCTGTCCGAGACTACAGCACTTTGCAGATGATTTGTTTCTGTGGTTATCAAACACTGCATCTGATGTGATTAGTTTCACTTGATTGATGAACTTTTCTCAGACCCAATTAGACTAGATGCTAATCGGTGTGAAAACAGGGGAAGCTGGAAGCAACAGAGCTAGTTGAGCATTCACATACAGTACATGTGGACTTCATGCAATGTATAGAACTGCATCTGCTGCAATGGAAACACATGCAGGACACAGCTTCTCTCTCAGCAAAGTAGTCACCCAAGTGACGTAGCCTAGGTCTAGAAATGTCTCCACCTGACGTTTATAAATTCTTTGTACTGGTGAAGATCCCATTTTATTAACTCTTCACTTGTTACATATGCTTCAAATACAGGATGACTTCATTTTATTTAACCCCAGTATAATCACCATTACTATTAGCATGCACTGTAATACATGGCCTGTTAATGGTATAAATTCAAAACAAACAGGAGCAGCAGAATGATAACTGGTTCTGAAGAATTGATGCAGAACAGTTACCTTCACTGAAAACAAAATTATCACAAGCTCTAGATACATTTTCACCTTGTCGCCAGATTTACTAAAACTGATATTATTATTTCAGTGTTAATCTTTGTTGTCACTCATAATAAATTCCAAAGGGCTGTTTCGTGCTTTTCAAGCATCATTTTGTCAGGATTTCCAAAAGAGCTGAACTGACCTGCTTTAGGGCCAAGGCCAGACGTCAAACACGTGTTAACCTTCCTAGAAAGTGGACAAGTCCTCCACACACAGCACGTACTCCAGCATATGATTTAAGATAGAAAACATGTGGCCTAATGTAGCAAATAAATTCTTGGCAGATGAACCACACGCTGCTGATATTAATTTATTTACCATGAATTCCAGTAAGTTTTTCCTAGAAGCCGGTAGAGATTCAGAGGGCAGCTTTTCTTTGCTTCATTTTGTCGAGGCAGTAGGCTAAGTATGTGTGGGGGGATCCAGGGAGACGGAGACGTGTCAGTCCTGGTGGAACAAGATCCTAGCATGCTCAGCAAATAACAAGGAGCTCAGTGACAAGACTTGATCTTCAACTCAGTTCTCCTAATTTTGGTACAGTTTGAGTGAAATGATCTTTCTATAGTAGCCTAATAATAGTTCATCTGATTCCAAGCAATGGGATGTGCTTCATTATATTATGATATGACTTATTAAATCATTTATATGAAATAAATGAAATCATTTCCAATCTAATGTCTTTTTATGCATAAATAATCACATCTGAAATTGAAATTGAAATTTCTGTTTTAAAATAAAATAAAATCACTTGTGAGGGTAAGCATTTTTTGCAGTGCATGTACCCTGTCCCATGCTGGGCTTAAGGATCAAATTCTCCCGGTCTGCCCTTTACACACACACACACACACACACACACACACACACACACACACACACACACACACACACATACTCCTGTTGTTTACTTATATCGCTTTTGGGGACATTACGCTAAACCGACTTAAATTCCTTTCCTGGAGACTTAATCCGAATCATAAACACTACTTGCCCAACACTAACTTTTATCACAAATCACTTTTATCACTTTTATCACAAAATCAGCAATTGCCCAATTGGTGACATGGCTTCTGTCTTCCCCAAGTCAGACAACACACACACACACATCATGCACACATCCTGCGCACACAGCAAAAGTAAGAGCTGCAAGTTTGATCAGGAGAAAATAAACCTCAAATATATCTATATAAGTATCTCCAATGTACTGTATAGTTTTTAGTTAACAGGTGACAATAGACTGTTTTGATGTATGTGCAGGCCATGTTTTGGTTATGTGCTCCTACAAAGTAAAAGTACAAATTGTACTACATGTGTTGCTTGCACATTTTTCCATCCATTAACTTCTACAGTAACACAGTAAACTGGAATGTAACGGGGTAGACCTGTATCGGCCTGATTTTGAGTGCAGTGATAGTGATTGATGTGATATGTACTGTGAGCTCTTACTAGTATTTATTGCTGCTCTTACTAGTATGTTTTGTCAGTTGTAGATCTGTTATTGATGCTCTGTTGATGCTTGTATGTTGTTTCTCAAATGTAAGTCGCTTTGGATAAACGTGTCTGCCAAATGAGTAAATGTAAATGTAATGTAAATGATGGGTGACCACCTAGAGTGAGTGTGTTTGGTGGGTGTGGTTTTCACATGGGTTGATTGCATGGGGATGTGCTGATGGCAGACAGGTGTGCTTGGGCGTGACCTCCAATCTGCAGCCATTTAACCAGCCACATACTAAGCTCTGAGAGTTTCTGCTTGTCTCCTGTGTGCAGTGTGCGGGTGTACTGAGGCTGCTGCTGATATCCCAGATAGTGTGGCACACGGCTGTGTTGTGGTCTGGGGAGTCGCATGGTGCAGAGCCACAGCTACTTAGTGGAGTTACCAGAGGCCTCAAGCAGTGAGGAGGCCACAACCGACCAGCCTGTGACCAACAGCAGACCCTGTCGCGTTGTTGGGCTTCGCCCACGCAGGGAGCCGACGCTGAGCACACCCAGCCACAAAGACCCTGATACCCTTTTATTTAAATGATCCTAAGCTTTCCCCATTTGAACTGACTTTTTAGCTTCAGCCTTGTTTTAACCCTTTTTTTTAATGTCTATTTACTGAAATGCATGAATAAACTTGGAGGCTATATTTTGCACAGCTTGTTGGTGTTGTTGCCCACTTATTTTTAACCACTGGCTGGTCAATTCCAAACCAAAGAGGAGTGTTACAGGAACTAAACTGGAGAAAAAGTAATATGTAGACTATGTTTTTAAAATGAGCACAGAAAATACTAAATTTAGGACCAAATAGTTCAAAACTCAACAAGGAAAATCTCTCTCTCTCTAAATGTGTAGATGTCTCCCTCTTGTGGTCTCGGACACGAACAGCACCTCTCTGTCATCCCCCAAGTGTCCCAGAATAACAATCGTTGCAGTTTGGAAAAGAAAATATATATAAAGAAAAACACAACCAGCGACATGGGACCAAACAATGGATGAATGACAAATGAATACCTTTGTATTTATGTTTCTAAGCCAGAACCCAAACTCTTAACAGGCTAACTGAGCTTAATTATGTTCTGAAGTGTTTTTTTACTTACAATACTTCACTAACCACCTGTAGTCCCCAACATCCTGTTTGAATAATTCATAATCACTACAGATGTGTCTCATGTATTCATAGGTGTCATTTACACTGGGGACGCTGGGAACATGTTTCAATCACTTTTTTTTAAAGCATGTTAAATATGTTCTGAAAAATGGTTGGCAGTCCAAAACCAAAACCATCTGATCGCACAGGCAGTAGTAGACATGAAGAGGCTTTTCTCCATCGTCGTACTCCTCTCTGTCTCTTGTGTCCGAGCACACAACACTTCTAGACACGACCTTTGGCATGTTGAGCCATTTAAATATCTTATAAAACAGGACCGTCTAGTGCAATGCTATTGTTGAAACGCCATAAGCACCGGGTAGAATTTTTCCTGGACACGGAAACAACACAACACTTCCGGTGTACGTCACTGTTCCTACCAGAAACAAGTGCTCCCTTTTTGTTCGCATGGTTAGAAAGTTCCGCGGAGGCCAAGTTCAAAATAAAGCCAGGGAGTTTATTTATTATATATGTCGTCTTATTGATATCAGGAGTCAGCACTACAACATAACACACGGACTTGGGTTTCAGCTTTATATAGGCCTACTGCCTCCCTTTGAGAGTCAGCTTTGTTAGATCAGTGGTTCTCAAACTTTTTCACATCAAGGACCCCTAAACTCACACAAATTAGACCACGCACCCCCATTGTGATAGAATTTTATATTACAGAAAGTGTATGAAACCTTTGACCCAAGTAGTCATACATATTCTGTCATTGTGTTCCTTATGGATGGAATTATAACGAAAATAAATTATTCCACTTTTTGCTGGGGACCCTGGACTCCACTTTGAGAACCATTGTGTTAGATGACTTTACACTGTACAGCTCATTTTTTTCCGAGGCTTGAAACCCTACACGTAAGACCACTTTAAGCCAAAACCAAGACAACACATCCACGTTAAGGAAATCAATTTATTGCAACGCTGAGACGAGTACAAAATACATTTTATATAGACATTTGCAGTTAGTCATTAGTTGTTAACACAGGCGCCATCACAAGGGCAGTAGAGCGCTGATGTTGCAGGCTCCTCACTGACAGCAGCTGGTGTCGCACTTCTTCCCTTTGCACACGCAGCCGGAGGCGCACTTGCTGCAGCCTGGTGGGCAGCATGAGCAGCAGCCTGCAACAAGAGAAAGAGTTTGTTAGTGACAGGCCAGCGGTCAAGTAAGCTGCCTGAGAAAAGAAAGAGTGCTGATCTCACAGCTGATGCCAGCTCAAGTACCCGAACATGGACAGTAAGACACCAAGTCAAATCATCCATTGGGTACAGATTGGTCAACTTGGTGCCGTGAACTAGAATTTAGCCTACACCTTTACGCTGCAGCTAATTAAGCCAATTAACAGCCTCTTGGGCAGCTGGTTGGAGGCAGATAGGCTGCACACTACAGCCTCAACATAAATGACTGAATTTTTACTCTACCTCATGAGTATTCTACTGTTACAGTGCTAATGAAATATAAAATGCTATCGAGGGTGAAGGGGGAAATGTAGCTTAAGCAATTCAGATATATTGCATCCAGTAGTCCCTCTGACTGGGTCAAGATTAAATACCAACACAATACGTCATGTTATCGGTGTAAAGATGTCAGACTTACTCTTCTTGCAGGTGGTGCAGGAGCAGTTTGTGCAAGCGCAGGATGCTCCGCACTTGCAGGTTCCACCTGGAAGACAACAAATTAAGCCAGATCAGCTTCACATTGTCCAAAAATGACAAATAGTCTGGTCTCCAACCATGAGAAATGTTGAGACAAGACATAACAGTTAACACTTACTCTTGGAGCAGTCGCAGGGATCCATTGTTCGATTGATGTCTTCTTCGTGTGCTGGTGGAGTATGTTCAGTGTCAAACGACTCACTGTTGTGACTGTCAGTGAAGAGGCGGCTCTTTTATAGCGTCCTGGAAACAACAGGACTGGGTGCAAAATGCGCCTGCCACTGCACGCTGGCACGTAGCAGGTAATTACAAAGAAGTGTGTGCACACGACTTCTTGGTTAACCACCGAGGAGCGGGAGAAGTGAGATTCCCAGGCAAGGACGAGTTGGCTTGTTGTCTTAAAAACATCTTAGACTATGTATGGTGGTATAAAGAGAACAGGTTACTAAGGTTCATCTACAGATTGTCTCGTTTTCTGTATTTTTCACCTGTTTCCCCCAGTAGGATATTATGATGTCCTTTCTATACGCTACGTGTGGCCAGCAGGAAATCTCTGAGTAGAAATTTCGGTTCACAAAGACCAAAAAGTCATGTGCTCAGTTTGCGCACGGATTTACAAAACGAAAGTATGTGGAGGAGCACTTATAGTGAAGATGCGTTCCTAGGTAGGCTACAAAGTGGACTTCCGACATGTGGCCCCTCAAAATAAAAAGGTAGCCAATAGTAGGCTATAGTGTTATCAGGTATCATCATTTACTCACTTAATTAAAGCTCGGAAAAATGTTTTAAAGAAAACCAATAATTGGTTTATACATATATATATATATATATATATATATATATATATATATATATATATATATAATATATATATATATATATTTTTTTTTTTTTTATTATTTATTTTTTTTTTTTCTTTTCTCGATGAACAATTGAAGATAAACATTGTAAACGTGTAGGATCAGCTGAAGGACCTTTTTATTTTTCCATGAGATTTAAACAGTCATTCTTCTGTAATGTTTCTCGGTGTTTTCGGGTTTGTGCACACGGTACAAACAAACTGCTGTCTGTTGACGTTTGTCCGCTCCCTCCCGCAGCTCTGCACCCGACCGCTTCACCAGCGCTCGTGAGCAAACCAAAGCAAACAGCCCATTGTAGCCTGTTGTGCTGCTTTTACGTACCGTATGCGGTAGGAAATATCTAATTCAAGGGTCGAGTACACGTGACATCTGAGGAGTTTTTTCTGTTGGATATTTCAGAGGTCATACAAAATTATTTTATGTAAATCAGAATTCCATCAAAATCTGTGTTTAGCATTATTACAATTTTATGATGAATCAGACCGGGCTGGTCTGTGACCACGAATAGCCTAAGTGGAATATTAGGATAGCCTACTCCCTGCTGTTTTTAATACTGTGGAGATAGTTAGCATACTCCAGCAATTAACACTAGTGTAGATACTCTTATGTGAATTACTGTATCTTTATATTATGTTCGCT